GCCGCTTCTCCGGCCATGCTGGGGCCGGGTCCCACATACAGCAGCTAGAAGGATGTGCAGCTATGACATACAACTATCTACTGGGGCTTTGGGGGGAAAATAAATAAATAAAATCTTTAAAAAAAAAAAAAAAAAAGAAAGTTTTCTACATCTTAATTGTGGTAATGGCTACATGGAAATACACCTTTGATAAAATTCTTTGATCCTAAACTTGGTATGGGAAATACATCATACACAATTGGTGGCTACAGAAAACTACATTAAATTTCTTGGGATAGTTTACTTAAGCTAAACCATTGCAAGTGGCTAAAAATGTTGGATTGAACATACTTCTTTACTAAAATGACATCAAAGAATATCTGAAAAAGTTAAAATCCCAAAAGTACAAAAGAAGAGGAAGGAAGATCCTGGTAGAAATGAAATGTCAACAAAACTGTGAAAGCTAGAAGGCATACGGACAAGTGTCAAATGACAACAGAATAAAGAAAGATGAAACTTGAGTACCTGTAGAGAAGTAAACCAAAAAGAAGCACCAGATTTGATACTCCTCAGAAGGTTCAGGACCAGGAGGCATCAATTAACACCAACAGGGAGAAGTGTGAAGTGGAAAGCAGGGGAATTAGTTGAAACGCCAAATAAGGAACGGGTTAGACCTACTAGACTGCCAAATTAATCCACTAAAGTCAGGTGACTACCACACTTCAAAAATTCTGGCAAGTAAGGTGCGTGGGGAAATGAGGATCTAGGGAACAAGAGGTATAAAACAAGAGATAGGTGAGGGAACTCCCAGAATAGTGAAAATAGATGAAGCAGACCAGATTAGAGTAGGAAAACAAGGCTCCACCATTGACAGTTGAAAGAAAACAACTAGAACCGATAAATTACTTGATGTGTTTGAAGTTATTGAGGAATTTTAGGGTTTTGCTGGAAAGATGGGAAATGAATTAGTCATAGGTATGTAGAAAAAAAGAGAAAACAACCAAAGCATTATTAACTCTAGGAAAAGCAAACAAAAAAAATATATATATATACTAAGGAATGTAATCGTTATACACTATGGGTATGTACACCTGCATATGTGTGTGTAGGAGATATACATGGAATATACACTATGTAGCCCTGCTGTGAATATTTACAGTTATAGCCATACAAACACTGACTAATGATTTAACCGGAACTGTCATATAACCGTACTGAGAGAATGGGAGGAGGAAACTCTGTCTTTGGTGGGTAGTATATGAGGGCTAAATCCACAACTTCCATATAATAATGGTCATGTCTAAAATTGAGAAATGAAGAAATAGCATTATAAGCATATTAAACAGAAACATACAAGTAAAAGCAAAGAACAGCTAAAAGAATTACTTCTGAGTAGACTCTGGGTAGAACAGAAGTTTTTTTTTTTTCCAATGTAGTCTTATAGTAATATTTGATTTTAACAAAGCACATATATTCAATTTAATAAACATAAAAATTTAATTAGAAAGTAAACATGATAAATCAATTAAAGTACATGGAATATGTTAATACACATTTAAATTATCTGAAATAAAAGGGAGAGGAAAGTACAGCACCTACCACATACAGGGACTGCAGTTATGTGAAACACATGTATGTACATGATAGGGATCAGAATAAGAAAATCATAATAATATAGGATTTTAATGTCTATTTACCTAGTGCTATTTGTTGTTTAAATTTTTTTAAATAAAATTAACATCACAAAAAGAGACAACCAGACTTAAAGTACCTCTAAGTGAGATGCAAGAGGAAGTGTATATTACCACCCATGAGTATTTTTGCCAAAAAAAGAACTGAATCTAAATCTGATCAGGCCTTTCTATCGCAGTTTATAGGACATACAGGAGCCAGTGAAAATACACCACAGGGATGCAACCAGCAATAGTCAGAATACAGGAAATTCTACACAAATAATCTGGTTTCTTAAATAAATTTACTATAAGAAAGAAAAAAAGGAAAACTTCAGATTAAAACAGACTTAAGAGACATAGCACCCAAATGCAACATAACATGTAGTGAGATCCCAATTCACATCAACTGTTTTTAAAAACCACCACTAGGTTTGCGAGAAAACTGAAGGAATTTTGAATATTAACTAGATATTTGATGATACTATGGAATTTCTGTTAATTTTTAAGTGTAATAATGGTACTGTAATAATGTTTAAAAGATCCTTATCTTTCGACAATATATTCTGAAATATATATAGACAGAATGATATGATTTCTGAGACTTCTCCAAAATAATCTGAAGGTAAGAGGATAGACGAAACAAGACTGGCCGAGTGTCGGTGACTGCTGACACTGGGTAATGGGTACATGGAGATTTATAATACTATTCCCTCAACCTGTACATATGCTTGAAAATTTTTACAATAAAAAGTTTAGTTAAAAAATTGAAATCTTTTATGGATTTAAGCAATAATTTTTAAACATTTTTCTACCCCAGATAAAACACAATCACTTTGGTAATCATTCAAGAATCTCAACTCTTTCCATGTACCTAATTATATTGATAAAGCCTAACGAAGATTTTTAAGTTGCATAAAATACTGTTAGTAGGGAAAAGCAACTGTAACTAAAAATCTATGGTTGATTACAACATTCTATTCTTGAAATATGGAAATATATTTATGAATCTGTGAAAGTCATGTATTATAAAGAAATCATAAATAAACATTGGTTTACCTCTCTCAATTTCTCTCGCTCACGCTCCCTCTCAGCAATACGTTTGCGCCTCTCTTCCTCTTCCTTAAGAGCATTTTGTGTTTCTGTTCTTAGTTTATCATCTTTAAGAATCTTTCGAATTTTCTTTCTGCCTTTTCCAGGAGACTTGGAATCGTCATTTTCATCTTCTTCTTCTTCCTCTTCCTCTTCGTCGTCGTCTTTATCTTCTTCTTCAGAATTACTCTATGAAATTTAAATGATCAGAGGTAAATACTACAAAGTTATCCAGCTTATCTATTTCATATTCCAATAACTAATATACCAAGAAAAGGTGGAAGAAAACATACCGAAAATCTTCAGAACTATACTTTGCAATAAAAAAAAGAGTACAAAAAAACAACCCAAAAAAGGGGGCAAAGGACTGGAACAGACATTTCTCCAAAGAAGATATAGAAATGTCCAATAAGCACATGAAAAGATGCTCAACATCACTTGTCATTAGGAAAATTTAAATCAAAAACACAGATGAGATACTACCTCACACGCATTAGGATGGCTATTAAAACAAAAAGAAAGAAAATAACAAGTGCTGGTGACGATGTAGAGAAATTGGAAGCCTGGTGCATTGGGAAAACAGTATGACAGCTTCTCGAAAAGTTAAACATAGAATTACCATAGGATCTGGCAATGCCACTTCTCAGATTATAACCAAAAAAATTAAAAGCAGAGACTCAAACAGATATTTGTACACCCACGTTCACAGCAGCATTATTCAAGATAGCCAAAGGTGGAAACAACCCAAATGCCCATTAACAGACGAATGGATAAACACAATGTGATATATACATACAATGGAATACTATCCAGCCTTAAAAAAAAGGAAATTCTGATAAATGCTACAACATGGATGAACCTTGAAAACATTATGTCAATGAAATAAGCCAGACACAAAAGGACAAATGTTGTTTGACTCCACTTACACGAGGTACCTAAAATAGGCAAATTCATAGACACAGAAATTACAACAGAGGTTATGAGGGGATGGAGGTAGGCGGAAATGGGGAGTTACAGTTTAATAGGTACAGTTTCCAATTGTGAATGTAATTAAGGCCACTGAATGGCACACTCAGAAATGCTTAAAACATTCATTTAAAAAAAATGACCCCCCCCACCGCAAAAGAGAATAGTGTTGACAGAACAAAACACGTTACGCAGAACATGTACTTTACATAATTCTGCTTGTATATAAGAAACTCAAATTAGCTAACTTCATTGCCAGAAGAAATTTATTCACATATGAGTCATTTCTCAGTATAAAATGCTTTATGTCTTCAAAAATAGAACACTTCACATCAGTTCTATAGCCCTAAGAATGTAAAGTAATGAATTAGAACAGCTTAAAATTTCCACTAGATTTAGTTAGGGAACAGAAAAAATTTGATAGTATGACAAAATTAATTCTTGTGCATATTTATACATTCAATAAGTCAATCTTTCCACAGAAGTGTAAAATGTAAATAAACCAGTAAAATTCAACTAATGAATAGAACGCAGAGGAGGTAATAACATATTTACTATGGTCTACTGTACCAGTTATAATTCAAGCACACGGTAAATGTCATTGCTACCTTGTTTTCACTGGATGAATCTTCTTGAACCTTAATCCGTCGCCTTTTCTTTTTCTGTTTATAACTCCGTTGATTTTCTTCCATCTCTGCTTTCTTGGCAGACCTAAAGAACATTTACAATGCAAAATAAAACACTTCATGACGAATTTCCTTAAATAAATTATGTACTATTTTAGAACTGCTTTACCTTTGTGTACATTCCTAGAAAAGACAGAGGAAAACAAAAAGCAAAAACGTTTCACTAGGTTCAAAAAGGATAACCCTTGATTCTGATTCAATGATCAACATTTTACGTTATTCAGAGGGGAGGTCTGGTGTGTAAGTAATAACATGGATAAAGGGCCTTTAGACATATAAATGGCCAATACACATATAAAAAATATTCACCATCTCTAAAAAAAAAAGGAGATTATAAAAGTTGGATACTATTTTCTTCATATCAGCTCACATAAATTTCAAAAAAAAACATTCAACCACTTTTGTTGAGAAAGTACTTCCGGGCTTAGAAATTGGTACACAAAGTTATATTAATCAAGACAGTATGTTCCTGGCATAAAAAATAGACATACAGATGAATGGAAGAGAAATGAGAGTCTAGAAATAAAACTTTACATTTTAGTCAACTGATTTTCTACAAGAGTGTCAAGACAATTCAATAGGGGAAAAAATAGACTTTTCAACAAATGGTACCAAGACAACTGAATATCTACATGCAGAAGAATGAAGCTGGACCCTTATTTTGCACCATATACAAAAATTAATGCACAATGGATGAAAGTCCCCCTAAGATATATGGTGTAGCTAACAAACTGCTCATAGTTTTATTGTTGAAAGAGTGAGGAAATGGCTATTTACATATTCTGCTAGGGGGAGAAAAATTTGACTTCTATAGGACAGTGTGAAAATACGTATGACAGGTCTTAAAATTGTACACCTTTGACCTAACAATGTCACTTTTAGAAATTCACTCTAAGGAAGTAATCAGACAAGTGTGTGAATACAGATACATATGCATGTATATGAATGATATATGTATACATGTATATATTACAAGAGTATTGTAATAAAAATATTTATCTATCTCTATATGTGTGAGTATGTGTGTATGTGTGAGTATGCAAATATTTTTATCACAATAGCATTTATAGTAGAAAATATTGAGAACCATCTAAACATACAAAACTAGAAGCTTACTAAAATAAAATTTCATAGAGGTTATAGGAAAAAAAGGATCAAAGTCCTAGATATAAGAGCTAAAACTATAAAAACTTGTCAAAGAAAACACAGCCATAAATCTTTGTGACCTTGGATCAGGCAACGGATTCTTAAATGTGACACCAAAAGCACAAGTAACCAAAGGAAAAATATAAATAAACTGGACTTCATCAAAATTAAAAACTTTTGTGCATGAATGGATACTATCAAGAAAGGGAAAAGATAACCCAGAATGGGAGAAAATAGTCACAAATCATACATCTGACATGAGTCTTGTATCCAGAATATATGAAGAACTGTTAGAAATCAACAGCAAAAAGACAATTCAGTTAAAAATGGGGAAAAGAATTTTGATAGATGTTTCTCCAAAGAAGATATACAAATGGCCAGTAAACACATGAAAAAATGCTCAACATCCTCAGTCATTTGGGAAAAGCAAATCAAAATTGCTATGAGATGCCACCACACACCCACTAGGTTGGCTATAATCCAAAGAACAAAAATGAGAAATGTTGGTGAGGATGTGGAGAAATTGGAACCCTATGCATTGCTGGTGGGAATATAAAATGGTGAGCCACTGTGGAAAACAGCTCGGCAGTTCCTTAGAAAGTTAAGCATAGTGTTGCCGTATTACCCAACAATTCCACTCATAGGTATACTCCTATGAATGCATATGAAAACATATGACTATGCAAAAGTTGTATACAAACGTACATAGCAGCATTATTCACAATAGCCAAAAAGTGGAAACAACCCAAATGTCCGTCAACAGACGAATGGATAAACAAAATGTGGTTTTATCCATAAAATGGAATGTTACTCCGCCATTAAAAGTAAGGCAGTAGCCAAGTGACCCCAGCAAGACAGCAGACCAGGAAGCTCCAGACTCTTGTTCTCCCACAAAAACACAGGATAAACAATAACATATGGTAAAAACTAACTTTGTGACAACTCTAGAAACCAGTTAAGAAACTGCAGCAACCAAGTGAACACCTAACCAAGAGTCACACAAAATGGTAGGAAATTTCATAGTGATTCCGCTCACGTTTGCCCTATCTCCCCCGCTCAGCTCAGTGAAGTCAAACGGAAGCGCCTAATTCCCAGCTCCTGCCACAGGAAGGAAGGAAAAGAGTGGAACTTGCTTGCAACCTTCTGCCTTGTCTGAGGGCTGCCCAAGGGACAGGATTCTGTCTCATCTAACTCACAGCACATGAAAAGATGCACAGCATCACTAACCATTAGGGAAAATACAAACCAAAACCACGATGAGATACCACCTCACACTCATTAGGATGGTTAGTATCAATTAAAAAAAAAAAAAAACAAAGCCAGAAAATAACAAGTATTGGTGAGGATGTGGAGAAAGTAGAATTCTTGTGTACTGTTGTTGAGAATGTAAAATGGTGCAGCCACTATGAAAAAGAGTGTAACAGTTCCTTAAAGAGTTAAACATAGAATTACCACAGCATCCAGCAATTCCACTTCTGGGTATATAACCAAAAGAAATGGAAGTAGGTACTTGAATAGATATTTGGACAGCCACGTTCATAGCAGCATTATTCACACTAGCCAAAAGGTGGAAGCAATCCAAGTGTCCACTGATGGACGAACAAATAAACAAAACGTGGTGTATACATACAATGGAACATAATTCAGCCTTAAAAAGAAAGGAAATTCTGATACATGCTGCAACATGTATGAAGCTGAAGAACGCTATCCTAAGTGAAATAAGCCAGCCACAAAAAGCAAGCAAATACTGTATGATTCCACTTATATGAGGCACCTATAGTAGTCAAATTCATAGAGACAGAAAGTAGAATGGTAGATGCCAGGGGCTGGGGAGAAGGGGGAATAGGAAGTTACTGTTTAAAGTAACTGTCTAAAGACTTGCAGTTTTGCAAGATAGAACGAGTTACAGGGATTGGTTGCAGAACAACGTGAACGTACTTAACACTACTGAACTGTACACTGAGTGGATAAGATGGTAAATTTTATGTTACGTGTATTTTACCACCATTACAAAAATCATTAACAAAGGAATAAAGTACTGATAGAAGCTACAGCATGGATGAACCTTGAAAACACTATGCTAACTGAAAGAATCCATTCACAAAAACCACATATTGTATGAATCCATTCATATGAAACGTCCAGAATAGGCAAATCCATACACAAAGTAGATTAGTTTTTGCCAGGGGATGGGGGATAGGAAGAATGTGAAATGACTGCTAATGGGTACAGGGTTTCTTTCTGGCGTGATGGAAATGTTCTGAAATTGGATAGTGGTGGTTGTTGCACAACTTAGTGACTATTCTAAAAACCATCATTAAAATGGTGAAATTTATATTATGTGAATTCTATCTTAGTTTTAAAAAATTCTCATCGTATCCTATTGTGATTTTTTATTTTCTTAAAGTGCCATATGTTGCTACACTCTAGGCACAATTCTTGAGTAAGTAGTAATCTAAAAAAATCTCAAATGTTTCAAAATTTACAAGTGTACACACCTATGTAGACATACATATACACACTCACTAACACAAATAGATTGTCCATTTGATAAAATTGTAGAAGGATCATATCATTCTGAAGGAGAAAAGTAAAAAATTCTGATTATGGTTAGTATCATCTAAAATACTATGCTAAGACGGAAGCAAAATTTTAAATAACTAGTAATCTACATCACTAGCTACGTGTATTGAGAGAACAAACACATTTTAACTTCTGTAATAACAGTAGTACTACTAAGACTAATAATGAGCATTCATGGAGCACTTACTATTTGTCAAGTAGGTACTATTTTAAGCCATTTACATGCACCATCCCATTTAATGCCCACAATAATCAATACGGTAAGTACTATTGTAATCCCCTATTTCACAGATGAGGAAACCAAAGCACAGAGTACTCATACAAATAGAAAGTAGTAAAGCCAGGAGTCAGATTGAGGTAGTGTGTCTAC